CGGGCAGAAATCGAACCTTGACTTTAGACGAATCATAAGGAACTTTATTGGCCATGTCTGGAAAGAAAAGCACGTATGTATGTATACGTGCTATTTTTTTTTTGAAAATTTCTGGGAAATTTACTGAAAAAATGACGGGTTTCCAACTTTGGAAAATTCCTGAAAACTTTCTGTCTCTCGACCTATACCCGAAACCATTCCCCGAAAGGAAGTTACACCGTGGGTACAAGTTGGGCTAATCCGAGGGTTTCGTGTTGAACGCTATTCATCTACGCCGAAGTAGATTATGTATTTTGTCTATGTTTATACCGACACTTGGGGTAAGACCGTCCGGAAGCTTGGCCTTGCACACAATCTCACTCTCACTGCTTACCATCAGTTCTACCCATCCAGAGCTGATTGTACAACTGTTGCTGAGAGTCACAACAATGACACAATTGGTAAGACAGAACACTCAACCACCGTTTGAACGCAAGCACACATCCTAAGATGAGAAGATTTAAAAGCGGTTCTCTTCAAAGTGGCGTCAGCGTCGACGAGCTCCAGGGAATGGAAAAGGCGCGGGTCAAGCGTACGCAGGTCACGAAGGACCTGAAGCGGGCGCGACGCATTAAGGTGGATGGGCGCGCCATGGTGGTCGCTGGTGAGGAGGCGTTCGCCAAGGGCAACGCGGCGCAGCCCTAGCTCGGAGGACTGAGGGCCGTTTTATTTCAACATTGCACTTTTTTTCCAAATAGTTGAAATGCTTTCAAATTTGGAAACTTTGCGCGGCGAGTTTGAAGGCAAAAACTTTGGAAACTTTCAAAACATTTGGAAGCTACCGTTCCCAAGTATTGGAGCTCTACTCACTTCCAATATTTTGAATTTTCCAAAGTTTTCGATGACTTCCAAAATTTTCGAATTGGGAAATTTGGAGAAAGCAGCCATGATTGTTACGGCCCTGAACACGAATCAAAAATCGCCGCGCTGCGGCAAACAGCTGTGCTTCTGGAAGCGCAGGGTTGTAACCTTATCGAGGAAGAGACGCTCTCTTCGGGTACAGTACTCGCGAACACGGCGTGCGTCGTGCTGAGGAACATGTGGCTGATCGCGAGGGCAAGACGCCTGACATCGAAGAGTACTTTGCGGCAGCACCGCGGGGACTTCCATGATGCTACGGTCCGTGCGGAAAAGCGTCCTTCTGCGCAGAATCGGTCGATACGTCCGCAACCAATGTGCCAGACCCCGGCCAACGTAAAACAGAATCAGGCCAAGTGATAGCGCCGCGCTGGTAGCGCCGCGCTGACGAGGACGACGCTTTGATCGCCAAGGCTGCCGCGGCGAAAACGGGGCACGAGGGACGGGACGCGGGAGACGTTCTCGAAGCCGTCTGGCAGCGTCCTAAGCATGTCCCGGCTCCTGCTGTATCAACAGCTGCTTCGTGTCCTTCATGGGTGCATGCGGGACACGCGAATGAACACAAGGTTAAGGTTACCTTATCATGAGAAGCGCTCGCCATGGTGGAGAGGTCCCGGGACTCACCTTCGATCAAGTCCTGGCCACGTTCGTTCATGGTTGCCAAGAAGTCTCGCAGCAGGAAGCCCCGCAATTTCGGAGGTCAAACCAGGATGACAGGCGTCCACGCGGGGGTGGTCGGCGCAGCGAACGAGACGCGTGACCGGCACCAGCACTGCCAAGGGCACCACTACGGTCGAGGTGGGTGGCGTCACCCCGTCACCAAGGCGCTTATGACGGTGGTCGCACCGGTGGTGGGCTTTTGGTCGCACCAGGGCGAGCAGCATGACGAGCCGTCCTCCCGAAATGGTCACAACCAGCAGTGCGCGAACGGGAACGGCTCCGACTCGAGCGGGAGTCGGTGCGGCGGTCGTGGAGGTGGTCGCGGAGGTGATAAGCAAGGGGGAAGACGTGGTGGTCGCGGTGGCAGGTACGGATCCGATGACGGTAGCGTGAGTGGTCACAGGGTCGGCGAGTCCCGACCGGAAGACGCTGTCGATACTTCCTTCTATTTTGAGCGGTAGACGAAGCGGTGCCGGTTTTTCTTCCCCCTATCACGGTACCGGCTGTGTGAGCATAGAATCAGCACAGATTGCAATCCCTGACCCACCCGTTGTAATCAAACCAGAGTCGACCGCGGTTGTGAAAAAGGAGACTGTTCCGGCCGCGAAAACTGTGAGCCTGTCATCATCAAACCAAAGGACTCCTCCGACTGCCAAGAACGATTCTCTTGATGACAAAATGGATAATAAATGTTGTTTGAGGTAGGTTTGCGGTCATGGGTATGAAAAGCCTATTGGCTATGCCGCCGACGCCTTTACAGAACGTGGACGACGTGGTGGTTGAACTGTTCCAGTTGTCTACGGCAATCACAAAATCTATTGATAAGATCCGCGCTAGTGTACAGGATTTTGTCTCCGATCACTGGGTTCGTGGGTGGGAGAATGTCCTCGAACGCCACACATAGTGAAGTCTGTTCGTAATAGAACGCTCAATCCGCATCTATCAAACAAACTCTAGTCGCCGTCAAACCTACCAGCAAGGCCATGGATGCGGGTGCGAGTGGTTCTGAGGCGCTGCACATGCTGCTGCGTACGGTCTGCAAAGGATTATGCACGGTGGCATCTACTTTGGTCTTGCAGAAGCTGCAAAACTTTGCCGTGGTATCTGGGACTATCTGCAAGTCCTGCTTGGAAAATTTGAAGGTGTTGGTGGAAAGCGCCCAAATATTCGGATTCGCTGAAGTTGGTGCTTTTCATGTAGCGGTCAAGTCATGTGTCAGCGATCAGGTTGCTATGTTGACGGCTCCTGTGTTCCAGGGCAGGAACGCCCAAGCATGGCGTAATGATTCACCTTAAGGACCTAATGAATGCATTGGACGATATGTCGGATAGCTTGACACCTACCTGCTGGAGTGTCCACGCGTCCAAGAGGGGTAGGGTAGGCAGCGCCTAGAAGTCAAGAGGGTGTGTCGACCGGTACATGGACTAGATGCGGTGGTGGGCTGTACTCTGCAAGCAAAGACAACTCGTTGACTTCGCCAGTTACGGGTATCCCGCGCACAAACAATGTGATGACGGTTCTCAACTCGACGATGAAACCAGAGAATCCTGGCAAATCAATCAGGTTCTGATGCAAATCGGTTTTGGGACCAACAACGTTGGACCGCCGTTTCACAAGCAACACCCAGCCTCGTAAGAGAGCGAGACGAGAGTTTGCGGCCCGCACAGTCTCAATTTGGAAGATCCCTTCCACTTTGCCAGGCAATGTCAAGAAAAATTGATGAATATGTCGGGATAAGTTCAACTTGACATTGATTGGCCGTTGGTGATCCTGACACCGTCGACAAAAAATGGCGTAAATGGCAGCAAAAGGTTGTTTTCACGGGCGGATACCCTACGAAAAACCGTGGCCGGCCGTGGATGACGAATGAATCAACAACAAACTGACCCATTTGTTGACAGTAGAGCGGCCGAAAATAAATGCAGTAGTGCGTGCCTCGGGATGCGCGTGTCGTGTTGTCTTGGGAACTAAGACGATTTGGAGAAAACAAAGAAACTCCGACCAATGAACGAAAATAAAAGGTCCGTGTTGCACGCCAGTTATGAACCTTGACCACCGGCGGGATGAAGAAACAGCCTCAAGCGGTAACAACGGTGCAAGTGTAGCCGGACTTGAGCTACAATAGAAGTTCATTATTCCGTTCCGTCGTCAAGAGTGCCCACAGATGCATTATAAGTATAGTCTTATACTGCAGTTCGATGGCTCAAACTGTTCACGTTACCCATTCTGAACTTGGTCCTGACCGTCTGGATAGCGAGGTTTATCGGAATCGGCCCCCGACGAGATCTAGATCTGTAATTCGACGCGAATGTCAACTACCTTCCTGTAGAGCGCGACTTTCTGACAATTCGAGTGTAGATATAGTAAGAGTCAAAGGTGCAACCCAAATGTCATTCGTTACAGGGGTTGAGTGGACCCCCTTCGTCCGGACAGGCAAAATTATGCCCCCACTATTCATGTCATTCGGGGAGGATTTGCAACGAGGTGAGCACGGCAGGTGTCCAAAGGTAGGTACGGACTGCCGGCTTGGCAGGTTCTCGTCCACAAATACTGCTGTAGGCAAGCGTTGGCGTTGATTCTGCACAAACAGGTGTTGACCGCGTACCAAAGGCAAGCGAGGCAATAACTTGAGGGAGAGTAACGCAGGATGGCAGAAATGCAGTAGGACGCCTTGGTGATAGTACACCAGGTGCTGTGAGCTGTGAGCTCAGCAGGAACCCCGTCACTCATATTCGACGAGGATTGAGGATTCGAAAACGTGGTCACTCACTGCTTAGACTACTTACCCTCAGTTCTACTCACCCAGAGCTGATTGTAGAAGAACTGCGGCTGCTGAGAGTCAGGGTAACACAAAACTGTTGAGACAGAACACTCGACCACCGTTTGAACGCAAGCAAGTACCAGCTGCATCGTACAACATGACATACACTTATGGCAACATACCTCCGCGAGAGCCTGCTTGATTAGGAGCAGAATAATAGTCCTGTTCAACAGGTGTGAAGAGAACAAGTCTACTGTACGGTCGTAAATCATGCAAATGTAAAATGTACATGCGTACAGCCAGTAGTCCCTTGGCGCCTTCCGCGCTAGAGTGTGCAGCGGTCCAGTTGATGATGTTCCCCCAAGACTAAAGCTCCAAAAAGTGTGTCAGGGTGCTTTGGCGGGATGTAGGTCCCGTTCCGCGGGTTGAATTGAGTGCCCGACGTCGGGATGTTGAGGTTTCAGCGATATGTGGTGTTTTATACTGTATATTGTATGAAAAAAAACGGGGATGGGGCTAACACGTCCCCCCCCTTTGAGAAAACGGCGATGAAACGTGTTTTTAGGGCCATTTTCAAGCGCGTTTTTTGCGCTATTTGATGCGAACAGCCGCAGAGATTGACCACAAGTACTCTGGACATTTCATTTCACCGACGTGCTTGAGAATAATGTAGTGCATTATATATATGGAAAAAGACGGTCCATTTGGGCTACAAACCGTGAAAATATTTAGCCACCAACGCCGGCAAATATCGTTTTCTCCTGCTGGAGACCCTTCATTAATACCCCAAACCGCGAGGGAGATGACCTGCTGCTGCACATGAATACAGCAACATGCAACACACAGCACACAGCAACAAAAAGAGTACAAATACTGCAACAAAATTACCAAAAAAACAAAAGAACATCGAAGGGAAAAATGCGCCAATCACGAGGACATGAGGTGCACCACGGACACCCCTCAATTCCCAACACCAGAAGACGTCGGAGTAACCTGGTGCTTGCCCGACACAGCCTTCACCATGCCCAGCACCCCCGCATACTTCTTGGCCGGGAAGCAGTCGTCGTAAGCTCCAACACTGCACTTCGAGCAGCAGCACGACGCCTGACGAACGCGTAGCTCGTATCGCTTCGTGACAGCCGGAAGCGTCAGAACGATTGATTCGTCCGCCTGCCATCTCTGCGGGTTGGCTACAACCTCTTTCTCGCCTACGAGGGGAACCCCGCTCTCTGTCTGCACCTCTACGCCTGCGCCCGAGCTCTCCTCCTGCTGGACCTCCGCTCCCATGAACTGGTACAGCTTGGAACTCCCAGAGATGCGGGTCAAATCAACGGCGGGGGATCTCTCGGTGTCCAAGAAGCTTGATGTGGAACCTCTTGATCCGGTAAGGAGACCAGGTTGAAAAGTGGCCTCCTCCATCCTCCTTTGCCTCGGCGTAGGCTTTGAGGAAGTCGGCTGCGGCTTGAGTGTCGTGAATGCGCTGGCCCCTTTTCTCCGCTTCTCGCAACAGAGCCTTCAGCAACCCTCCGATGCCATCGTGGGCGCCTTTGAAGTGCGACGTGACTGCGAAGTTGTGGATGAGGATGGCATCAAGCCTGTGCAAGCTCTTGGCCACGGCGTGAAAGTTGCGCTTCCCCTTGTACTGTTTGGCGCACCCGTCGGTGAAGATATGCACCTTCGGGATCGGGGTTCCAGCAGTAGCGGCGCGCCCATCCCCCGTGATGTAGTACTGAAGGATGATGTCCATGGCGTATGTGTGGAAATCGAAGTCATGGTTGGGGTCACTCGACACGAACACCCATGCGTCTGTCTCATGCCGCCCGTCGTCGTCAGGACTGTGGTGAACTAGGGCCACCATCATGGTGGTGGAGGGCGCAGTAGCGCACTTCAAGATAGCGCCAGCCTCGTGCTTGTACTTCTCGATAAAGTCGGTCTCCACCAACAGCTCGCCTTTAGGCGAACGTCGCCAGGCACATGTTGTGGGCTTGGCGCTGCCACTTTGCTAGCTCGTGGTGATGCATGTACTGGAGGACGACAAACGAACGGGTGGAAGGGGGGGAGGGAGTGGTGTGTACTCATAGTCGTGCATGCCGTAGTCGTCAGACCGAGGTGGGAGGCAGGAAAGAAAGGACAGGTGCAAGCTGCATGATTGATTGTGTTGATGCACGATTGACTACATGCCTCCAGCAGTAAAAGACGCCCAATCCACATGCGGGTTCTAACTGTACCTTCTTCGAGTGCTCCACAACCTCGTCCCACAGGTCACCCAGTTTTCCGGCCTGGGGTAGCTGCTGCTTCTTGTGCACCTTCCCATCCTCCATGACTTGATCCTCGAATCGAAGCCACCCGACAACTCTGTCCGCCATAGACCCCAGGGCATCGCAGTTCATGGGGATGCCGCCTGGGTTGCCAAACCCGTATTCGGGGCATTCCATCGCAACGCATGCGGGCTTTCTACCCCAGTGCTCAAACCTACCCCCTCGGCCCTCCGCAAGAAAGCCTGCCTTCTCGCAAGCCAAAGCCTCAGAAAAACTGTGCAGATCTTTACACATGGCCATCCACTTTCCACAACCACTCCCGTCGCACCAGTTGCACGTGCACTCACAGTTGGCATGTATTGCAGGCATCAACATCTCGAATGCCTTATGATACAGCCCCTGCTGCGTGTGGATCTGGCAGGCACACTGCGATACCTTCGGTTCCACTGTAAGACACCAGAAGCGAACGGTTGAAACGGACAGAAAGGAGGACAACAGGTCAGCAAAGAGGCCGTCCCCCTGGGACGGTGACACAGCTAAAGAATCCATTACGCTAGAACAATATTGACACTGTTATCGAAGTGAAAAAAGAACGGAGCTGCTCCCCTCACGCCCACCCACCTAAACACCCACACCGCGTCGAGAGGAACATCGTCCGCCCAGGGTCCGTGAAGCTGCTGTCTTCCCTCAGCAGCTCCGCCTTAAGCCCCAGGTATTCCGGCCACTTCAGAAACTTGCGCCATACTTGATCCCCCGCGACCATGAGCTGCCTACGGGGGTGATACTCCTCCCCTGCCTTCTTCGATGGCCTCCACACGGCTTCCGTCCCTGCAGGGAGTGTACGAAAAAAACGGCCGTGTGCAGTGTAGCAGCAACAGTTAAAGTCACACCCAAGGCAGCACGAAAGGGGTACAAACAAGTGCCGTTGACTAAAAACGCATGTCCATTTGAAACGGCAAACGGAGCATCCCGGGACTTCAACAACACGTTTCGACAGCGCTTACCTGAGTCTCCCGACGCACGAGAAATGTCGTCAGAGTGCCAGAACCTTCTCGCCAAATCCATGACACGTTCGTCCATCTTATCGGTCCTTTCTTTGCGCGGAGCCCAGAGGTATCTCCCCTTCTCCAAAGCGTCCTTTGGAGGTATGGTGTGGTCAGTCTTGTGCATCCGGATACGCGCCGCGCGGAACGTTGCATCTGTCACACCGAGACCCTGTGCTCGCGCGGCAAGGCTCACGGCACCCTGCGGCTCAGCAGGAGTGCAAGGCTCAGCCGGGGTGCAAGGGTCATCAGGATCGCACGTGTGCTCCTCTCCAGCGGCGGCAGCAACCACAGTGTTTTAGGCAGCGCGGCCGATGTTGGTGTGTGAGTGTAGCTTCAGCGTCTCTATGGAGGCGACAAGCGCGCGAATGTTCGCATCGACAGCAGCCTTCGTCGCCGCTCCCTCTCCAAGTTCTTCGACACACAGCAACTCCCTCATCTCCTCCTTCAACACATCATCTTCTAACACGCTCTGCTTCACACCTTCGCGGTGCCGGTCGATGGCTTGTTGGTCGATGATAGCAAAAGTTGGAGCGGTTTGACGAGAGAGAGGAGAAATGAGGGGACTCAATATTTATGTCGAGATGGAGAGCAGGAGAAATATACCCGCGGGCATTCAGTAGTCTAGACAACAAAAAAAATAAAACAATACGCAAGATATCACCCTATCTCTTGCAGACGCTACGCTGCTCTGAACTCACCGTTTGTCGCCGTCGTGGGGGAGTCGTCGTGGGCTGTGTACTTCTCCTCAGTCCGCTGAAAAGATGCGCTTCGAGCGGATCGGAGCGAGCGAGACGTGCATCGGATCCTAACCTTGGACCTCTTGCGGTAGCGGCTGCAGCGACCGCAGTAACAACCGCAGATCTGGTGGCGGGTCTTTCCGGCTGCTTCCTTTGACGCTTCGTAGCCCCTTCCCGGAAGCCATTAGCATGCTCTAGGGCCTTCAGTGAAACGCCGTTGAGGTCATCCACCACATTGCTTACTGCTTTGCCAACCGAAGCCTCAGTGCCCTCCTTTAGCAGCGTGGAGGGGTTGTGGAACCCCTTCGGGTGTGCGCGCCGTGTGTGCTTGACGACCCTCTGTTGTCCGGAAATTTTGATCTCGCACCTCAGCATTTTGGCAGTAGCCGCCACCGTCTAGGTTACGGGATGGCAATGAGCTGTAACTCGGCTGGTTTGGGTCGAGAGACCCGGCAATGAGTTCCTCTTCAATGTAATTCGACCAAGCGGAGAGTCAATTGCCGCTGTGCAACATTCGCTCCGAGATCATGTTCCCTGTGATTCTAATCCCGCCGCATTTGGCTTGGTCCAAAAGTGGCATTTTTTGGTACATGTCGGAAATGGGTTCTCTGACCACTTCAGGACCTAGAACCACTTCTTTCTTTTCCTACCGACGGAAACTCGCCGAGTTACGGAGTTCCCCACTCTTGCGCGGAATGCCCCCGTGTAATGAGAACTGGTTCTGATCGTCACACAACACCCCGCTCGGTTGTTTTTTATGTTTCATCTAGAGTTGTGAATCGGTACGAAAAAACGATATATTTTACATCGGCTGCGCAGCAGCCGATATAACGATATTTTCTCCGATATATCGCCGTAGGCGATATATCGGAGAAAATATCGGGCGAGCGCAGCGAGCCGTGATGGGGGCGAGCGAAGCGAGCCCCCCCATCGGCCCCCCCCGGCTGGTGAGGGGGCCTCGCCGGAGGCGCCGCCGGAGGCAGAAAATTTGGTGCATTTTCCTTTCATTTCCCGTCAAAATGGGCCCAAATGCGGCATCAAAAAGGGCTTGACTTCAGCTGCAAACATCGCACGGAATGTAGAAAAAAAAAAAAAAGATTAAGATTGATGTATTGTCGCGTATCCTCAGCAGTACCCTCCTTCGGTCTCTCCCTGTGTCTACTTCCCGGTTGGTTCTGGACATGGTGCTGTTGTCTGCTGTTTCTGCGCTGCTGTGCTGTGTGTGTGTGGCGTACAGGGGCTCCGTACTGCTGCGCATACCCTAAATTTGATTCACGGAGCCCCTAAGAAAACATCGGTCGGAACATCGGCACGAATTTTCGATACCGATATCGATATATATCGGACGATATATATCGTGTACATCGTTCCGATTCACAACTCTAGTTTCATCAGTAACAGTCTATGACCCAACGAATCCATCTCGTCGCATGAACAAGACTGTCAAAAAAAAAAAACGTTCACTACTGCTGTGTGGATGGATCCAAACGGGCATTGTTGGATCTTGCTCGCTGACAACACACCTCATGGGGCTACTGTTGCGCACGTCCCTCTAACTTGGATTGGATGACTGCAGGAGTACCGAGGGTCTCGTGACGCCACCGTGGTCACGATTTGCCTAGACGCACGTTCCATCTCGACCCACACGCGGTCAATCATGACGTGCGTTGACGAGCTCGAGAGCCAAAGGAGAGAGCTTGAGGCAAGGAGAGTCCTGCTCGAGGAACGGTTCAAGCTTCGCCTTGCCACCGCCCAGGTAAAGAAGAAGTCTCGTGTCTGAATGTGCACTCGAGTGATGCACCAAGGCAAGTTCTGACATACAGTGAGTGGTTACCATGTGACCTTGCCGTGTCTGTCGGTGTTTCTGCGGCCGGCTGTCGGTCGAAGGAGTGCCACAGCCGTGGCAGAGGATCTAATCATCGCACCTATGTATATAGCGCCAACGACTTGCCTACCTTTTTCTGCAAACCATGCGCAAGGCCGGATTGTGTGTGAGTGTTCACTGGCGAAAATCTTCGTCCTGGCCCTGCGGCAGCAAGACAAATAACTTGCAATGCGGGTACCGCAGTTGTAGTCGGTGGCAAGTTGCTCGTGGAGAATGATGTTACGGTCGCCAGCACGGAGAGTGTAAAAAACACGGACACGCAGTAAAGTTTGCACGTATCCATGTGGCCCGGACCCATTTGTTTGACCAAAGAAGCACCTAAGAATATAGAAGAGCGCCGGATGTATGCGATCTAGATACACAAGCAGTGGATGGTAGCGGGCACCAGTAGTTGGCACTGCATATACTCATTATCGTCTCTGATCTCTCGATCTGAGGCCCTACATCCAAGTTGAACTTATTTGACCAGGATTCCGGATCGACTTTGTGTGTTCGTTTTCGTCACGGCAGTGAACGTTCAATCGTTTAGAGCAGTCTCATATTCATATTACGCATACTGCGTAGGAGCGCGCTCATCTCTCTAGACCGCGGCGTGATGTTCATGGTCCCATCTACGGGAACGTGGGCTGCTTTGGGTTTCCACACGGCATTGGCCAATCAACAGGAGTTTGGCATGATACACACCCAACGCCTCGGCCGGGTGCGGCAAGCTTTTGTGGCGCAGTGTGGTGCCGCTCGCAGAAGGAACCAGAGCATCCTGGCCAAGGTGAAGCAGGTGGGTACAGAGTGCCGGCGTGCTACACTGTCGACAGTAGGCCTCGATGTTCCCGAAGGGTATCGACAATACTTCGGTGGTCCCGTCATGGCGGTGCTAGAGTTGAGAAGCTGCTTTTTTTCGAGAAGCGATGTATAGACAGGATTTCAATGTTGCAACTACATAATGTGGCGACATGTCGGAAAAACTCTTCTATGCCTAAATAAAGTGTGAAATGAAACATCTGGGTGTTTACAGAGAGAAGGAATTATTCGATAAAGGCTTACTATTTGACTACGATGACTGTTCACGTAGTCAAATGGTCAGCCTTTATCCAATAAAAGATACACTCTCGGCTCGTAGCCAATCCCAGTGGATCTGATAGGGTGTAGTGATCTCCGGGGACGGACCCCTCGCCACAAGATGCTGCTATTAGCCGATAATGGTGCCTTGAAAGCGATCCACTGGGATTCGAACCCGTGCGTGAATCATTTATTGGATAAAGGCTGACCATTTGACTACGTGCACAGTCATCGATGACTTTGCACGTAGTCAAATGGTCAGCCTTTCTTTATCGAACAAAAGATACACTCTCGGCTCGTAGCCAATCCCAGTGGATCTGATAGGGTGTAGTGATCTCCGGGGACGGACCTTGCCATTACTATTTCTGTGCCACGTAATTTCTTGCGCTGACCGTACCTGAGGAAGGAAATGGAAACGACCGAACCCCTGTTTAGCTGCCACTTCCGAAGTAGTCAAAGATATATTACCGATGGTGTCCTGTCCCTTACCCCCTTCCCTCTTGGTTTTTGTGGTGTCGTCTCTGAATCCACCGGCATTGGCTACAAACGTCCAAAACAGAGCAACGACGCCTTCTCCAAGCAGAGGGCTCTCAGTGGCTTGAGCCACAAGAGACTCTCGCACCAGACGGAGCGCTTCTTGTCCGCAGCCGACAAGTTGTACCCGGCCTGGCAGGTGGGTGTGGTTTCTCCGTATGACAATACATTCGTCGCCTCGTGTTCTGATGCCGTGCAACCAAAAAGGGGCATGAGTTCTCCCTCGTCAGAACGTCTTGCAAGGCAGGTTACGTAGTGTGGCTATGATTCCCTCGACGAGCATGTTGGCTGCGTGAAAATCTCAGGCGAGAGAGCGAGAGAAAGAGATTAATTGCTTCAAACTTCCGCGGCTATACACAACGAACCCTGAACAGGCCCAATAGTGCTATGCCGCGCGCTCTGCCCCAACCGCTGATTCACAATAATCCGCCAGCGAAGTGTAGCTCCGCTGCGATCGTTCTCTACATCCAGCAGCCGCGTGCTACACAATCAGGCTACTCCTTGAACAATAATCACCAGACAGCTTCGAGGAGTAAACATTGCCCCCATGGCTTCACTCACCACAACGTGTACGCGCGCCCAACAGGAAGAACAACTGCACAAGAAGACAAGACAGCTAGCAACGATCGAGGAGGAGCGATTCGTTACCGAGCAGCGGCGTAGGGCGGCGCGCGACAGGTTCGAGCAGGAACAGGCCCTGGCAGCGGTCATCGCCGAAGGCCAGCGGCGGCTCGCCGCTGCAAGGGTATGCTAGCCTTGGGACGGCGGTTAGGGGAGAGTCTAATTCCGTGGGTATGTTCCCTCTCCCATGTACTGGATGTACGGATCACGAGTTTTCTTCGTCGTCCAGCGATCAAATGAAGAGATGGGGAGCTGGGATGTTCTTGTGATCATTATGCACGCCGTTTGTATGTAGTCTGTCGAATTCTAGGCCTTGCGCGAGGGCGCGACCGGGGGTAAAGTTCAGTGTTGGGAATAGGCTCCAGCGGCAGGAGTCGGGAACGTTGCGTCTGGCCTTGCTGCGACAGCGCAAGGTGAGCCTCCGCCGCAGGTGGACGCAAGAAAAGGCAACCGGCGTCGTACATACGCGGGCGTCCCTGATGCCTGCACGGCGCGACGACGCACGTCGAGTCTCGCCAATCCGCATCTGTGCTCGACGCGAACACAGCAATGTACCTCTTCCCCGATTCGCCTTTGTTCTTCATCCCGCACCCATGTCAGCAAGTGTTTTGTCCCAGGGACCCAGTCCGGGAGACGCACCTCTGCGCAGCTTTCCAAATTGCCCCTTGGCTTGTCTTCCTAATGGCACATCTACTCCCACTCGCTCTGTCGTGCTCCCCGACCAACGACATCTTGAGCCCTAACGAAACGTCGCCCACACGAAAATACACACACAGGCACACGAGCGCAATGAATCCGCGGTCAGGCAGGTCCGGCGGGATCGAACGACGGCCGCAGATGGACAGGCCCTGAACGCGGAGCTCGAGCGGGTCAACGAGGCCGGCCGCAACGCTCGGTATGACGCGCGAGCAGTCGGCAGCAACAGCACTCGGTACGTCGCGTTGGTAGAGGAGGAAGCGAGTCGTCGCCGTCGCCGCCGCCAGGAGAACGACCCCCGCAGCAGTGACGAGAGTGGCGATGGCGGCAGCGACGATAGCAGTGACCGTGGTGAGGGTGCAGGCCGGCGAGGGAACCGGTGCTACATAGGCACCGACGACGACCTAGATAGAGGAGACGCAAGAGAAAGCTGCGGGAGTTCGGAAGGGGGATCGGGTAGTATTGGCAAGGCTCGGGGTGGTGCTGAGAGTGCCGTGCCTGCTTCTGAGGGCTTGGAGCAAGCCTGGAGAGACGGGGAGGTTCCCGCCGGTGTGAGGGAAGAACAGCGGAGCAAGAACGAGGGCGGTGGAGCCAACTCGCACGAAAGGTCGCGTGTGGCAGAGGGGTCAACAAGAAGAGGCAGTGGGCATGGCGACGTCGAAAGCTTGGAACAAGACGTGCTACAGGACGTGTTTTGCGCAAGGCAGGCAGAGGCATCGAAAAAATCCGGCCGCGTCGGGGACAGGGCTACGGGAAATCCGGAGAGTAGAGGCGGTCACGACACAGCTGCAGCAGGGCTGGGTGACAATCGAGCACTTGGAGGGGAAAGTTTACAACGCCGTTCTTCTTTTTCCCCACTCACCGTACGGAAGAACAGTCGCCACGGATCCGGGATGACAACGACGGCGACAGCCAAAACGAGAGAAGAAAGGGCGCTGGAACGCAAGAGCAGAACGCGAGATTCGCGGCGCAGACATCGCCGCCAACGGTCGGACGAGGACAAGTTGTCGGCAGAACCACCGCAGAGCCTGCCACGTCCGCCGCCTTATAGACGTGACGGTGGTTGTGGCAGCGGCGATGATGTGGAAAGCGTCCGTGGCGTTGCGTCGGCGGGGGGGAAACCAAGCTACCCGACGAACGAGACTGCGGAGTTGGACCTGCCCCGCCCTCCCGAGAAGCTATCGCCACCCCCCGGTCAGCGGGGAGACAGGGCCCGATCGTTTTCTTTGTCGCATGGCTCCGGACGCGTGATGACCGTCTCGTCTCAGGGAACGGCGTCGAAGCTGCGGGACGGTTGTGGTACAGCCGGATCCAGTGAAAAGGGCGTGCGGGAGACGCTGTCACGGGAGGCGACGGCTGCAGGTAACCGTGATACGGGGGTTGTCGCCGCAGCAAGAGTGCCATCGTGGAGCGAACAAGAAGAAGACACCAGCGACGACGACGGTGCGGGCACCGAGGCGGAGAATGAGAGAAGGGGATCCACAACAGCATCGGTGATTCTCTCTTCAGAGGCCGCTGGGTTTGACCATGCTATCACAGCAGTTCTGGGAAGAAAAGATAGTCGTCGTGACGGCCGCCACGGCGAGCCCAAAGTCAGGAGGACACCATCGAAGGAAGGGTATCTCCCAACAACGCTAGCCACGCCAAGCCGCCCCCCGCGTCTCTCTTTGCCGGAAGCGGCGAGAGCCGTCACCGCCTTGACGGCGCAGATCGAAAATCTGGCGGCGATCTTGGCAGCAGCGCCATACGGGGATGGGCCAGGCCCGTCGTCCTCGCTATCGCCGTGTCGTCGGGTTCTCGACGCCTACGGCTCGGTCGCCATGGTGCGCTCGGGCGGGGCCAAGGCGGCAAGGGCGGCGGCGGCGGTGACGGCGGTGGCGGCGACCCCTGTCGACGACACGGCGGCCTCGACCTCCCCCCTACCCGAACTCGCGGCGTTCGGGATGGCGGACCTTTGCGCAGCCGTACTGGACCTGATCACCGCCCACTCGGCCGAGATACTGCCGGCGGAAGCCCTGTCCGGCATCGTCACCGCGGCCAAGGTCCGCGCGGAGCACCGCCGGGGCGGCAAGGCCCACCCGGGAAGGCTCCAGCTCTTCGACGCCGTGACGAGCCACGCCCGCCGGTTGGCCTCTGGGAAGGATCTCGGAGGGGTCGACCACTCGACCACGGCCATCGCCGGTGTCTTTGCGCCCTGCTTCGAAGCGGCGTTCTCCTCCTCGACGGCGCGAGGGAATCGCGTGGCAGGGAGCGGTGGTGCAAGCGAGCGCCTCCGACGCAAAGTTTTCGCCTTCCTGGAGTCGGCCGCCGGCTCGAACGGCGCCGTAGACCGAGGGGCGACGGCGGCCCGGAAGGATATATCCTCTTCGAAACCGACCCCGGCAATGCCCGTGATGGCCGCTACTGGCCTCACGAACAACCACGGTGGTAGCAGTGGGCTCACGAAACGCGCCGAGGGTCTGCCAGACGCGCGACAACCCAAGGGTAAGAACGGTGGCGGTGGTAGTACTGCTGCGGCGACGGCCAAGTCGCCACCGATAGATTCCACGCAGCAGTCGCAGCAACAGGGGCAATGGGGCTTGACAGCGCCTTCTGTGGGGGCAAGCTCCGGTGGGATGGTGTTGGGAGGGGGGCGGAGTCTGGGCAAAAGAGGGAAGAACGGGGGGCGCCTTGACCTCTCGAGCATGACCGGCTCGATGGGCGGCCTGTCAATTGCTGGGAGTGGAGGAGGCCTGCCAGAGTTTGAGGTAGGCCCTTGAAGCGCGAGAGGAGAAGGGGGGAAAATTTGTCGCCCACACCTCACCTGCAGCATCCATTCTGAATCCTTATGTTACCGTTGCAGGAATTCTCCCACATTAGCGTCCAGACTAATTGATGTGCTCGAAGCTGACTTTGCAGTGGTTGTCTTGTGGATGCAAAGATTTTTCGCGAGCGGCATTCCTACAGTCAACATGGTTCACGCAGACCCAAGGCTGAGTCTTCAACGACTAAAAACCAAATCGCATATTTCCCACTGCCACTCGCTGCCCACTCGCCCCCTGCGCCCGTGGCCGTCTTTCCTTCATCAGAACTATGATTCTCTGGAAGAACTGGAGGAGTAAGTAGTGCCATGTCTCGTTCATCGATGATCGCCCTGCATGATGTGTGCGCGGGACTGCTGAGGGTTGTGTGCGTGGCAGCTCCCTAGGGATCGAGGGCCGTCTTCCAGAACTTGCTCAACAACACAACTCAAATTTTTCGCGAAAGAGCCGAAACTCCTTGAATACAGACGGCATTGCAAGCACAACATGGGATGTATGCATGTGATGCCCCCCCTTGCCTCCTCGGTTGAGGTTCTGCTACTGCACAAAGTTATATCGCTTCGCTCTCACTCGTTGTACTTGGATGGGTGAACTCGGCCAGACAGCAGTAGCACCAGAACGGTAGGAAGAGGTGTCTGTCTTCAGTACTGTTATATGTTGTGCCTCGGCTATGGAGTCAGCCGAAGAGAGACGAGCCTCGAACCCCGCTTCTCAGGGACAAGAGCTACCCGCAGGTGATGAGACCCTTCCTCGTGGACTAACTTCGCTAAAAATCATTATTGTGTTCCAGCTTCCTTGTTCTTCACGAGCACCGCACCGCTCGGACATCCCGCGTGTGCCCAGGCGGGCGGCTGACAGGCCAACAAGACCCGCTCGAAAACCAACGGGTCTAGCTATTATGGCGCAGGGGGAATACATTCCGTGGAAAAGTCCTCGTGGTGGACGGAGGAGGTCTATCCTCTCTTGTGTCATTGAGACAGAGAGAGGCGAAGCGCCCGTGTGTGTGTTGTGTGTGTCAACATCTTCATGCCCCTTATTGTCCTGCTGGACGCAAGCGAAACATCAACTGAAAAAAAAACAACCAACACCCCGTTGTTGCAGAAAACAAACGACGACACAACAACAAAACAACACATTCAACCCCAGATACTGATACCCTGCACTAGGCGGACAGCAGAAGACCAACACAAAAACTACTCTCTAGAGGCAAAGAAACACAACACGACACAGAAACTCATTCGCAAGGGAGAGACCAAGCGCGAAAACAACCATGCGTCGACGGGGCTAGACCAAACCTAACCGCCTCGACCGCCAGTTGTGGGTGTCAGAAGTCGTTACGAAATCAATTCGTCACCCGTACACTTCGGCATACCGTTACCGGGCGGCGTGGGCATTCCCAACCCTTTCACACCGCTCTGTTCCAAACTCTAGTGACGGGGCCAGCCAAAACCAAAACCGATACATACCGGCAGTACTCTAGCTTCCCCCCCTCCCCTCCCCTCCCCTCCCCTCCCCTCCGCCTGTCCTACTACACAATTTCTCAACTCCGGGCACGATGACGCCACCACCACAATAACAACCAGGCAGCAAGCAAGCAGTAGCCAACTTCGAGATCTCTCTCACCCCACCGGCACTTTCTTTCGCTCGGGCGCCCTCTCGCCTCCGCCGCCGCCGCCGCCGCCGCCTTCCCACCCGGACCGCCCAGCGGTCTCCATTATCGCCTGCTGTTCCTGCTCCAACCCGTTCTGCGGTGCCCCACCCCCTCCCATAGCCGTGTGCATGGCTCCAGCCCAGCCACCACTATTTGCTACTACTGCTTCTGGTTCGCCGTGGCCGCCGCCGTCCGCGTCGAGGAAGAGCATGTCGGCGATCTCGCGGGCTATGTCGTAGGACGCCCTCGGACGGGCGGCCTGGAGGGCGCAGTCCTTCATCTTCTGCAGCAGCTCGGGGTTCTTGAGCCACCGGGCGACCGTCGCGCCGATCTCCGTCGGATTCTTGCTGTACGCTCCGAAGCCACCTTTTCGCAGCGGCCACAAAAGGGGATGGTGCGGGGAAGAGGACAAGAAGGGAGGGGAAGGTTGTGTATGATTACCTGTCAACCACCGGTTCAGTTTTGGACACTATGAATAGACAAGGCAGGACAACCATGGCACGGGGAGGGGGGAGGGGGGGGGCGTACTCATTTGTTGCTTGCCGTAGTCATTTGACCATTGACCACGCGTCCCTTTCGAGACGGAGCACCGTTCCTGCCCCTACTAGAGACACCACCAACATTTGGGAGCTCTTTACGTTTCTGCCACAAACTACATAAAAATTTCTTGCACATCTTATCCCCGTCCTCTAAGGCCTCTTGTGCCCACCATCTATCCCCAATTACCGCGATCGTTTTTTCGCTGTTGTCTATTTTACCAAACTTGTCCATGTCACACCCTCTGTCTCATGCCCTCCTCGAGATCCTCTCTTTCCTTCCTGTACAGCTCACACTCCCCAACTATGTGGGGTCTACTCTCCTCCGATTTGCCACATGGACATGTCTGNATTTGAATTCTACGGGATTTTTCTTGTCTTCGTTACAGACCACTACTGCGCATTTTCCTACGTTCGCCGACAGTCTCCATTTTCGGGTGTATCCTACTGCCGCATCTATTTGTTCCTGCAACCCTTCTGGTGTTTCGGATACCCCCACGAAATCATCTGCAAACATCAGTCCGGACACACTCCTTCCCCCTACTTGGACTCACTGTATTACGANTCCTTCGAAATCTCTACTCCCAGGTACGTATACCTGTCTACTACCGGTAGTTCTTCCTCCCCCCATTTCCATTTGAATTCTACGGGATTTTTCTTGTCTTCGTTACAGACCACTACTGCGCATTTTCCTACGTTCGCCGACAGTCTCCATTTTCGGGTGTATCCTACTGCCGCATCTATTTGTTCCTGCAACCCTTCTGGTGTTTCGGATACCCCCACGAAATCATCTGCAAACATCAGTCCGGACACACTCTTTCCCCCTACTTGGACTCCCTGTCTTACTGCTTCAACCGCCCTTATCAAGTCGTTGATGTAAATCTTGAAAAGAGTGGGTGACATCGTACAGCCCTGTGCGACTCCTTGGAGTATATCCACGTACTTCGGGGGTACTCATAGTCGTGCATGCCGTCGTCGTTTGACCATTGACCTCGCGTCCCTACAAAGCCGGGACGGAGCACGCCGGGTTCTCACCGGACCAGGCTCTCACATCACCAAGCGCGAAGCGCCGTGAGATATTCGGCGAGTCGCATGAAGGGTGCGCTGCATCCTGCTAAGGGTGTTCGGCATCTTGTGCTTACTTCCTTGCGTACGGATGACAGCTGCGTATGACTTAATTTACTTTCTGGTGTCTCCAATTCCAGAGACAGTTGTAAGCACTGTGTAACTGCCTCGAACATGGTTCGCCATTTTAACACAACGTGGTGCGATCATCCCCCTTGCGCGGAGTGAGGGTTCTCAACCCCGCACAACATGATCTACCCGACCACCATTATCGTTACCGCCAAAAAAAAAGACAGGTGAAAAAAAAACGGTAACCTGGTTGCCGAGTTCACGAAGTGAATTGGCTTGTTTTACAACGTCTTTGCCAAGCGACGAAAACCCAAACCCGATGGCAAACACCGGAGGAGTGAGTGGAGGAGGGGGGATGGGTGTATTCATAGTCGTGCATGCCGTAGCGGATAGACCATTGACCTTGCATCCCTACAAAGCCGGGATGGAGCACGCCGGGTTCTCACCGGATCGGGCTCTCACATCACCAAGCGCGAAGCGCCGTGAGGTATTCGGCGAGTCGCATCAAGAAACGCTGCATTCCGCTGAGGGTGTTCGGCATCTCGTGCATACTTTCTTGCATACGGATGACAGTTGCGAATGACATACTTGATATCGCGGTGATTTCACGTACAGAGACAACAGTTAAAAGCACTGTTGTACAACTGTCTGGAGGGTGCTTGACCATTTTTACACAATATGGTGCGATCATCCCCTTTGCGCGGAGCGAGGGCTCTCGACTCTGCACAACAAAATCTACTCGATCACGAAATAACAATAGTCACCGCAAAAAACAACAAGGACAAAAACAAAGAAAAAAAAAAAAGGTAACCTGGGTGTTGAGCTCACAAAGCGATCGATCGGCTTGTTTTGCAACGTCGCTGCCAAGCGACGAAAACCCAACCCTGATGGCAAACACCGGCGGGGCGCGGGGCGGGGCGGTCTAATCACCTGTCGACCACCCTCTCACACACACACACACTGTCCTTCTGCCCCGGTCCCTGTCGCTCACCATTCACCACGTACGGCACGTTCCCTTCCTCCTGCCCGGGCAGGTAGCCGCTCAGCATCACCGGCAGCCCCCTTATCGTAGCCTCTGCGATAGTCCCCGGTCCCGCCTTCGTCACCAGGGTATCCACCGCCCCCATCCACTCGTCCATGTTCGACACGAACCCGCGCACGATGACGCGCGTGTTGCTGGGCCAGTCGGCCTCCTCGAGCTCCCGCTTGACCGCTTCGTTCTTCCCGCAGATCACCACCACCTGGTGCACAAGTATCACCCCGAAATTTTTCAGGTTCACTTTGGTATTCAAGAACAAGTGTCGTTCCTCATTTCTTCATCTCTGTCGGTTTCGTATTTACTTTTCCTTCGTACATAACCAGAACTTAGCGTTGGCGGTGAGGTCGACTGAGGAAGGAGGCATTGTGAAATAACCAGAGTGAGTGTTGGCGATGAGGTTAACTGAGAAAGGGGCCGTGTGCCTCCAACACAGGAGGAACGCCGTAGCAGCAGCTATGCGGCACAACCGCCAGCAATTCTCAAATCGCTGCTCGTCTTCGTTGTGTCGAATAGTCCACGCCACTACCGTTTTGTGTGCCTACTGAGACGGTTTCGTGTTAACAGCAACACAGCGCAAGGGCGAGACTGTCGCCAAACACGCCAATCAAGTGGAAGCGCGACGACCGGGGAAGTTGGGGTTTCGCCAGCGACTAAGGTGTTACTTCATTTCAGTCTTGTCCACTGGAGGGTGTCACTAAACAGGCGTCATCGAGGGGTGGCTGCGCGAAGAGCGTCTGTCGCTTTCAAGTCTTTTCCCTTTTGCTGCTGCCTGCACACACAAATGAGGCACGTGGAGGCTCGGCGGGTGCATTCCCAAACGCCCTTAGCGGCCATACACGCACGCATCTCAAGCCGATCCCCGCCAAAAAGAGGGCGGTTCCGCCTCCTCCCTCCTCCCCCTCCTCCTCCTCCTTCCTCAACCCACAAATAAGGCAGACCACCTCCCCAAGGCAGACCACCTCCCCCGCAGGTCCCCGCCTAGTCTCTCTCTCTCTCTCTCTCTCTCTCTCTCTCTCTCCCTCTCCCTCCCTCCCCCTCGACCTTGACACAACAAGACACAACAAGGGGGGGTGGGGTGGGCAATCCAATCACCTGGCTGCGCTCTAGCTCCTCCGCCAGGGTCTTGATCACGGCGGTGGCGATGGCCCCCATGCCGCCTACCCCGTCGCCCCCGCCCATCACCATCGCCACCGGGGGTTCGGCCTCTAGACCCAGCTCCTCCCGCAGCTCTAAGGAAGGCCGCGGGTCTTTCCAGAAGGCCGGGCGGATGGNGGGGGGGGGGGGGGGGGGGGGGGGGGGGGGGGGGGGGGGGGGGGGGGGGGGGGGGGGGGGGGCGGCAGGGATAGAGAGACAACGGAGACACGAGGACAGACAGAATACCAGAGGTGTCATATCACGAAAAACACCGCGAGGAAAAGTCTGTCCACAGACGCACACACAACGGATGGACCTTACTCCTCTTCTCGCGGGACCAACACTATTGTACATGTACACAACACACAGATACTGATCCCCCCCCCTCGGCCTGCTCCCCGGCCGGGGCCGAAATCGACCTAGTGAGTCCCTCGCGGGCGAA